ATCTGAATCACTTGAAAAAAACACGGGGGTGCTTAACTTTTTTCCAGGTGTATATATATATTTAAAAATTCAAACTAATTACTAACAAGTTTTATCCTACACTTCAGGGACATCTTGAGAACAATTACTTATGTGGTATAGTGGGGAAGAAGAGCATATATAAAATTTGAATAATACTAAAAATATGATCCACATATGAGAAGAAAATATATAAAAGAAACCTTCTACATCCACTTAACTAATAACACATCCATATCTTGCTCCAGAGAAACATCATTTACACAGAATCCAGAATGAATATGTCAAGAATATACTTTACTTCAGAGCTGGTGACTGGAAAAGTATGAAACTTAGCAGTCTAGTACCCTCAAGATCATGCAGAACAAGAGTTATTTTTTGTGGTAGCTGACTAAAATATGATGATACATTTATTAAGAGGTTCCAAAAGTTTGACTATTTTCTTGACTCTCACCCAGAAGACATCACTATTCAAGATCTAAGCTTTGATTGCACTGTCCAGGGTAGGCATTGTTTCCTTATACAGTGTTAGAGTCTAAGGCAAACTCTATTTGAATCAAGCTTGTACAGCAAAGCATGATAAAGTCCAAAACCCAACTTGTTCTTACTGTTAATAGAAAAAGATGCTCAATCCTTTTATTTTTCTTCTTTAAAATTTTAGATTATGTGACTTTAGAGATAATTTACAATGCATTTACTTGTACCTAAATTGTGAAGCATGTTTCTAGCTTCAATATGTTGCCTATAAAAAAGTTAATCTCAATTGTGAAGCATGTCTCTAGTTTCAAGATGTTGCCTATAAGGTTATATCTCCATTGTGAAGCATATCTCTGCTTCAAGATGTTGTCTATAAGAAGGTTAAGATATGAGTGATAGAACTGTAGAATATTATGTAATACATTCCAAGCTTGTGTATGTTACAGTATTGTCTGTTACAAAATCAAAAAACCGGGAAACATCATCTACTTCCATGACCTTGAGTATTTTGTCAGCCATGTGTCAGCCTGTAGTTGTTAAGAAATTTCAGAAACTATTACACGATTTACACTTAATTGCCTTTGAAAAAAAAAGTAAAACATGTAACATTACAAGTTGCATCAGTAATTAGAGATAAGTTGTTTTTTTTGTACTTCAGGTTATATATATAAGCAGTATATTTATCAAACTGGCTAAGTTAAAAAAAAAGTAGATACTTGATATTTGTTTTTCTCAAAGCCCTTGGTAAATAATATACTGGTTTATTTACTTCATCTCTATACATGGAAGTAAGAAGTTTTTTTAATAAGTAATAAAAATAATCTAATTCCTGGTGTAAAAGAAGAGAAACAACACTATATAAATAGGAAAAACATATATGTGGCATATAAAAAGTCTATGAAGTTGGAACACAAAAGTGGCCAGTTCCACCAACCTGAACACATACATTTCTATGTAAAAAGACATAATGTTATACATCATTTTGTATTTAGATTATAATGCATAAACAATGTGACAACATTTTTAATGGAATTACAAATGTAAAATACATTTGCTCAATTTTATGAAAGCATTCCATCTAAAAATGTGTTTGGATCAGATAATAAATTTGTACACAAATATTTCCATGTCTGAAAATGTAAGTTATTTTTGATGTTAGATAATAGATTCCAATGCAACAGATTAGTTGACCAATGAAAATTAAGACAAACATATACATTCATATTATAAAACCAAATCAAACTCTAACCTGTCTAAAAGTTTAGTTGATGCTAGTTCATATTTTTCTAGCTGTTGGGAAAGTTGAGTGTCATCATCACACACTGAACCCCAGCCCAGTACTCTAGCTAGATCATTTCCTGTTCCCAATGGTAGAATACCCAGCTTACACTGTTTATTGGAAAATATCATAGTAATTTTAAAAACTAATAATTTATTATGAAAATAAGTATAATTTTCAGTGCTTTCACATTAATATGTAACATTTGTAAATTTCATAAATATTTATCAAAAAGCAACCCACACTATATAAAATAACTTATATGGTTACTTTAAAATTGTAATTAATAACCCATATTTTTGAAACTTAGACATTTGTATAAATGTATATTTAGAAATACACAAAATGTGTTCATTTTCTTACTACTTGTTGGCTAATTTAAATAATATCAAACATTAACTGTGTGGTCTAAACACAGACACCAGTAATGTACAAATATTTCCACAACTGTTTATAACATATTTTTAATGCTATAATTGTCATTTAAAGACTTTAGAACTCTTAATTTTTGTACTATTTATAGAAGCTTACACCCTCTGTATTATTAAAAGTCAGATTATTGATTTAGCACTATCATTGTAAAATAATAACAAAATTTACTAAAGGCCTTGTAGTGTCATTATCAAGCTGAATACTTAAAAGCTTTTTAAAAAGCCTTTTGTTTTCAGATTTTTTGTCTGTTATTATATATTTAGGGTGACCAGATTTTCAAACTGAAAAATCAAAACAGCACAGCCCTTGCCTCTAATTTCAAAATGGTTACTACAAACTTTTATTTAACTTACTTTAAATGTATTTATCTGTTCCACAATATTTCTAAATATATTAACATTGGCATTGTTTTTTAAATAATTTCAACTGCTTTTTTTGGTGATAGGCACAAAATAGATGAGCAAATATAATCAAATTATACATCAATGAAATATTTAATTATTCAGTTTATCCAATTCATCTTAAAATAGGCTACTTCATTCCTAGATTTATTTAAGAATCTATAACATTTTCAAACATACTACTTTTAGGTGTTAGCATTACTTTGAAACTTTTTAAACTTATTTTTGTGAAGAATGAATGGAATGTAGAAGTTCTTTTTTTTTCATTAAATAGTCATAAAATTTAGTACATGACTGAGTAGTGTGTGCTTTGTTATGAGCACTGCCTTAATTGTCTCCACATTCAGACCTGCACAGACATGGTTTTCTCACCACCCATATACTGAACTTCCAAGAGTGTTTGATAGCAGGAGAGTAGGTGTTACAGCAATGAGCAAATCAAGTAGGCCTATTGCATTCATGATTTGATGTGACTGACATTTTGATGTCTTTATCATAAAACTGGAATGTTTTGTGTGTCCTGAAAACTTTTCTCGGGACAGTGAGACAAACTACCACAAAATAGGATGGTCCCAGCAAGACTGGGACATCTCATCACTCTATATATATATATCTATTTATAAAATTTATATTTATTTTGATTGTTTAAACTAACTGTCTATAATAAATTAAACCTTTTCTTTTGCATTTCAATATTGTATTTCAAGAGAAGAGTATTATTTTGTATAGTTTTGGAAGAATGCATCCAAACAGTAACTTGCACAAAAGGACATTATTTACGTGTAAGATTCAAGCAAAATTTTAATTAAAAAATAACCAAACAACAATAATGTGTAAAAATATATATATAAATTGTTTTTGGCTTAAACATTATCATTATTACAATAATAACTATTAAAGGCAAAACAGGGTTTTACCCTCCCTATTTGGAAAATATTTCACACTTTCGAGAAATATTATAAGAGTTTGAATTTTGGGGGGAATTTATAAAAATGAAATCCAAAATATTTAAAAGTAAATATAAATGCTAGCTGACAAGTGTTTAGATATGGGTAATTAACTCTACTATCTATAAGCATCAATTATATCAATTAATGTTAAGGTAAAATAGTGGATTAAACATATGAATAAATCAAATAATGTCATAACAATAATCAATCAATCCAAATTAGAGTTTCTGATTGTTACTGTTTTCAATCAGTCTGACTATCCAAGTAATAGAAATAATGCTGTTATGATTTCTCATTATTATTTTTCATTAATTCAAGTTTGTTCAGCTCAATCAATTATTGTAACAACTTACCAAAATCATCAATATTAATATTTTCAAGCCAGTCTGAGTAAGAGGTGATCTTTATACTAACAATTAAAATACTTCTTTTCATTTACAGTTTCCAAATTTCATTTGCATAACCTCTAGAACCTAGTAAAGGAATACCAAACGTTTTTTTTTGTTTTTTGGTAAACTTTATACTTTATCTCTTATTTTCTTTACCTTAACACTAACTGTATCAAAATCATGAATGTACATTAAAAATAAAAGTTGAAAACTGTGGAATAAAATGAATAATACCATTTTTATCTCTGCACTGTCTGCAGTATTCATCAGAAATATTCAAATTAATTATCTTAACAGCTTCATCTTCAAGCCTTTTCACAGCTGCTTTCTTTTAATTTCATGATGTTATTGCTTATGCTTTGAACCAACTACTGCACAGTGACTTAAAAAGCAATAGATCACATGGGAGCCCATTAGCTGTTTCCTGTAGAGCTAAGGTAAACACCATATGGTTGTGCGGTACCTGTTGCTGATACTGAAGCTAGTGCAATTTTAAATGTTTTAATAAAGTTTTGTTAATGTAAGCTGAGAAGTTTACAATTTTTATATTTTAGTTACTTGTTAAAAATATATATAAATACAAGTATCTGTTGTACTCGCTGTGTACTTAAGAAGGCAATTTACATTCTTCCATAAGCATCGTTTAGTTTAACAAATTTGAGTGTCCAAAAAATAATTCATGTAGCTTTTAAATAAGCATTTTAGTATACAAAAAATATACCAATCACAAGAATATAATGTCCCAAAACTTCTATAATTCATCTGGCTTTAAGTAAGCTATAAATAGGTTTAAATACTCTTTTAGCATTCAGAACAATATGATCACCACAAATCACAGAATTCCAATGAATAATGAAATATGGCAGAAAAACTCAAAAATATTTGTTTGATTAATACAGAAGAGAATCTACTTTTTCTATTGGTTATAAACATATCCATCAGTCATGTAAAGTTGGCCAGCAAACAATCTCAAAAGTAAGAGAGAGGCAAGGGGCTTCTCTGGTGGATATGACAAATGTTTTGATATTTAAGTTAACTCAAAAAGGTAGAAGATTCAAACATTAGATTATTGCTTGCAATTATGTACAGTTTGTGTTTCTAATTGATTGGAAACTACAGCAGTCTGAAAGAGAAAAATCAGAGTTCAGATGTGAAATTAACAAATTAAAACATTTTTATGATTATTTATTAATGAAGTACAGCTTTGAAAACAGTTACAAAGAAAGTTTAGATACGATTAGATAGAGCAAGGATTAGACTTTTCATATCATAGAATTAGGAATAATTGAGAGAGTTTCTTTAAACATTCTTTTCATTCCTCTAAATTGTGCATTAAATTATATTTTTTTGAAAGCTACAAGAATTTTTTTCAATGAGAAAACATCAGAAATGCTTATTATGGCTTAGTGAGCAAAATATTAAGATGACTCGATTTCTTATTTATTGAACATTGTTTTTAAGATTATCTTATTGAAACAATTCACATAAATATATAGGCTAATTGGATACTTATTTCTAGGGATGCACAGGTACCCGGCTTGTTATTGGGCTACTCGGTAATACACGGCTCCAGCCCAAGTGTCAGTATTAAAAAAAGCCGATTCTGGGTAATTGAAAATGGCATCTGAGCCTTAATCTTTGTGGCAACTTACGTGGTAATGAAAGCTACAATAAATAATTGGTTTAGTTTAAAAAGACATGTTCCGAGCAACAAAGACTGACTGCCCGCTGAAAGTTGGGGATTCAGAGAATAAATAGAGGTTAATAACAGGCATGGCTTGAGAAGTGGATTTCTGGGAAAGGTGGGGGTTTTGAGAACAATAGGGGTTAGGGTTTGAGAAGTTGGGACTGGGCATTAATTTGAATAATGATTATAAAACGTGTTAACATTACAGTTTCTGCATTTACTTTCACTGGCCTCACTTTTGGAAGTCAAATGAAGCTCGATTTCCCACAAGAGCCAGGATAGCAAGGCGTTATCTTTCCGCACCTCCAATCAGCGTAGACAGCGAATGAGCTTTTAGCACTGCTGGCAACATTATCACACACGAAAGAACAAGGCTTTTACCCAAAAATGCCAAAATGCTACTGTTTCTCAAGTACAATTTAAACAAATTCCAAAAATACAGGCATTCTGCAAACTGGTGTGCACATTTTTTGTAAGTTAATTTTGAAAGTAAAACTGGAATGTTCTATTGGTGATCATTCAGTTAAATGTAATAAACTTCAATTTTGTTTTGTTTCTAATTTTTGTGTATGTTGTGTTTTTTTTGGGGGGGGACAAGGGGATAACCCCTGTCCTGGTTTACACCTGGCCCTGGCTGAAGCTTAGTGGCCAGTGACCCGGACCCAGCATTTGGCCAAATTTTACTACCCATGCATCCCTACTTATTTCTAATTGCAATCCTGATATTTTTAAATAAAAATATTATTACCATTATCAGCAATAATAAAACACTTTCATTATATAATAATCACTGTATTCAATTTTCATAAGATCAGTGAGGAATTACTGCATATTTAGATTTAAAAAATGGCAACCTCATAGTCATCTTGATATTAGCAATGTTAACATTCTCACCTCTTTACACAGAATAGCTATATCCCTCATACATCTGCTTAAGAGACTTGCATGCACTACACTAGCAGTATCAACACTACTCAATTTCTCACTGTATTGTGCTAAGCCCAATCACTGAAGAGCTCTCCAGGGTACACCACCCCAGCAGCTAGGAATTGGTAAGAAGCAAGAGTCTTCCTGTGCTTTGCTCGAAGAGGGAGAGGCAGGGAGAATTTACACTGGAGAGGCCCAGAAAAGTGCCTCAATCTTCTTCGAATACCTGCCAGAAAGGACTTTTACAAGAGACAATACAATAGGTGACCACAAAACCCTATTTTTAAAAACTAGCAAGCATGAGCCAAAGAAGTAGCCAGTCAC